TTCCATCATCTCTCCAAATGGCATCTTTTAAGCCCATTCCCTATACAATCAACCACCACATCATCGAGTGCAAATTTCTGGGCACTCTAGTGTCCAATCATCTTCCACCTTCAAGTCGCGAATGGGGGATCCGCCAATCTAACTCTTCAGGTTTAAGAAGATTGAACAGGGGCAACTGTTATACCCCAAAATATTCCCTCTCATTTCTAAAGGATTTTCTTACAAGATCTTTTATGACATCAAGTTTGCAGCACTGATACATCAATTTAGGCTTGGAATTGGCAAGAGGGCAAAATGGTTAATTGCATACTAGAAAGTCAAACTTTGACTTTTTGATCAACATTATATTACAAAGATCAAATTTCATCAAGACATTCAAGAATATCAAGCTTGATCATCAAGAAGTCAAGAAAGTCAAAAGTCAACTTGAAAAGTCAAGATTTCCAAGACTTAGAAATTTTCTAAGTGTCTTTATACATGATAATTTCATCACTCCATGCCATTCTTTCACTAAGATGCAAGACAATTCAAGGGAAACTTTCAACATAAAAGTTGTAGATCTATATGATATCTACAACATTTATTTACATAACTTCTCCTAAATATGCTTGGATCTCAAGTTATAAGTTCATGAAGTCATGGCATTTTCATTTAACACTTAGAGAAATTTTCAGCAGTTTTGGTCAGGATTTTATCCCAACTTCTTGGCATTTTTTCACATAGTTACAAGATGATTTTGTCAAAATGCCAACATGAAAGTTATAGAGGGTGTTTCAAGCTTTCCAAAACATTCAAGAGCATGAATTTATCATATTTTAGCTAGGAGATTCAAGGATCTGAAGTTGGACATTCATTCTTGATTTACAAGGCAGATTTGTGATGAACAAGGAACCAAAATCTTAGCCATGCTGCATAATATTCACTTTGCAGGCTTCTTAACTTGAAAATATATCCATAATGAGATGTTTACACAATTGATTAAACCATTATCCAAGTGGTTCAAGTATTGTCTATTGCATCTTTCCATTTTTGGCACAAAGGCACCATTGCCATTCTTGCAAAGTTCACTTTAATCATAAAGTCAATTTCTTGAGCCTCTAACTTGTTGTTCTAATCACACTCAACTTCTATAAGTCAGAACAAACATGTTTAAAGTGATCAACCACTTTAGATAGCTTGGTACAAGCATTGGAAACATGTTCTTCAAGCTTGCTTTATGTACAATCTAACCTAGCCATAACATGTGATCCAAAATCTGAGTTTGTTCAAGTCTCAAACCTTCTCTATAAATAGAGAGGCCAATCACAAGAGAAATGGGTTAGAAAAAATAGAGAGAAAGACCAGAAAAATAAGAGGGGAAACTAACACTAAAAATCATTTTTGCTGTCAAAAACCAGATTTGTACACAAAACCTCCATTTTTGAGCTTTGAAGTCCAAATATTTGAATCTCATACCTTGCAAGTTTTCTCCAAACAAACCATCCAAACACTTCACTTACCCCATATAGAAGTTGTTCAAACATAAGAATAACTTCTGTAACATCACTACCACCATCTTCTAAACTCAAAAAAACATACATTGCAACTTGACTTGGTTGGAGTGGTTCAACCATTTTCAATATAAAAGGAAGGTTGGAGTTACTTCAAGAAGGTTCAAAGGAGCTCGATCAATCACCACTTTGTACCCGAATACCTCTGTATGTGTCCTAAAGCTTTCACTTCGAGAGGTAAACTTTCTCAAACCGTGATCTCATTGTTCATACATCATTTGCTTTTGTGCTCAAAAGATATAACAAGACAGATCAAAGAGAAAAAACTAACAAAAAGCCAAACCAGAGGCTGACACGGGTGCCCGTGTTACACGACACGGCCCGTGTCAACTTATTTGGGTTGAAAAACATAGTAAAATGCAGGTACAGAGGCTGACACGGGTGCCCGTGTCAATCGACACGGCCCGTGTCAGAGTTACTGGTTCAGACACGACCAAAAAAAGATGAACAGGGGCTGACACGGGCGCCCGTGTCAGGTGACACGGCCGTGTCAGGATGGCTGTGACCAAAAAATGCATAAAACTCATGGACAGGTCCTAACACGGCCCGTGTCAGCCCGGACACCAAATTTCTTGATTTTTGGAGATTTTTTAGGTTATTTTGGACATATTGCATTGCTTGGAAATGACCTAACTTTATAAAACCTTTTTGTTCAAATGAAACCTTAAAAAACAATTTTCTAAATAATTAACTTAGACTTAGGCTTTTCTTCAAAGAAATTAATTACAAAATCTTTTGCTATAAAAAACCCTAAAAAACAATTTTTCTCACTTTACATCTTCTTGCATATTTTACTATTTTTGCATTATAAATTATGTAATTGTCAAAGCCTTGTAATAGTAATTAGGGTTTACTTTACTTTTCATCCCCATTTGTAAATTTATATCCCCCATCCCCAAGTGATGTAATAGCATAGTAATTTTACTTTCCGCAATTTATCGCTTTCATATCAATGCTAGTAAATTAGGGTTTGTTTGGAAAGATAAAACCAACAAATAGATCACCCTAATCAAGACTAAATGCATGTAAATAAAACATATTTACACACTTACACCCTTAGGGTAATTCCACTTGTTGCCTATTGGAAAATAGTCATGTCCCTCGAGCATGGGCGTTTTAGCAAAGACCCTCGATAAAAGATCGTAGTCCCTCGATGACCCTCGATGTTGCCTTCGGTAAACGATCTAGTCCCTAAAACGACATTGCTAAAACGTCTCATATGTTGCCTTCTATGACTATACAAACGTCCCAACGCCCGTCCCTTCACATCCAACGATGGGGCTTCTTACCAAATCAATGGTAAGATAGCCACATCTAAAGGAGGAGGAAAAGCACATTTAAGACCTTTCGAGTAGGTAGATTCGCTCCTAGTTACTCGCTTGCTCACAACAAAAACATTTTTATACACCCACACTCTCATCTTTGAACTATTTTTGAAACAAACACTTTGTATGCGTTCTTACAGAAACGAGAATCATTACAAAGTTACATTTTCAAAATACTTTCAAAAACACATCTCACAAACACACCTTTGAACTATTTTCGAAACAAACACTTTGTAGGCGTTCTTATAGAAACGAGAACCATTACGAAGTTCCATTTTCAAAAATACTTTCAAAACACACACCACAAGCACATTCAAACAAAAGCAAGTGATCTAGCAAGTAACTAAGAGCCCATGGAAAACAATGGATAAAAATGGTGCTAATACCTTCCCTTTTCATAATCTATCCCCCGAACTCAAGAAACAATCTCAAAGGTCTTTCCTGTGCTTTTTCACCTTTCCTTTTGGATAAAAGAAAAGTCGGTGGCGACTCTTGCTAACCGCAACATTTGCGATAAAACGCAAAACAACCAAGTCAGTTCTCCCACCGTATCACACCCTTCTTTATTCACCTTAACCACATCTTCATACACTATCTTCATGCTAGTCTATGTTGATGACATTATTGTCACAGATAACTCTCCCACTCATATTCAAAGGACGGTGAATCAAGTGAACTCTCAGTTCTTTTTAAAATAATCGGGTTCTCTTCACTACTTCCTTGGTATTGAAGTCACTCAACTCTCCAATGGGACTCTCTTTCTTTCTCAAACCAAGTATCTCAAGGATCTTTTGGTTAAAACTAACATGAGTGAAGCCAAGAGTCTTCCCACTCCCATGGTTTCTAATCTCAAGTTAACCAAACATGGTTCAGACTACCTTCCAGATCCTACCTATTATAGGCCAGTTGTAGGAGCATTGCAATATGCTACTATCACAAGACCTGAAATTAGTTTTGTAGTTAACAAGGCATGTCAGTTCTTATCTCAACCTATGCAAAGTCATTGGGTGGATGCCGTGAGGATTTTAAGGTATCTCAGGGGTACCCTTCATCATGGTCTACACTTTCTGCATGCAAATCCCCTCAAGCCTATGCATGTTACTGCCTTTTCTGATGCTGATTGGGGCTCAGATCCTGATGACAGGAAATCAACATCAAGATCATGTATTTACCTAGGCCCTAATCTTGTTTCATGGTGGTCTAAAAAACAGACCCTTGTGGCAAGATACAACAAAGAGGCTGAGTATATGAGCCTAGCTAGCACGGCTTCTGAAGTGGTTTGGGTTCAATCTCTACTTTCTACTTTCTACTTTCATAGTTACAGATTCAAGCATTACCCCCCACTCTCTACTATGATAGCTTGAGTACAATGGCCTTGTCTCATAATCTTATATTTCATGCTAAGACAAAACATATGGAACTTGATATATTTTTTCTTAGAGAGAAGGTTCTCAATAAAACCTTCTATGTGAAACATATCCCTGTTGAATTTCAAAATGCAGACATCTTAACTAAACCTCTCTCTGCACTCAGATTTCTTGCTCTCAGGGACAATCTAAGGGTCATTGACAGAGCTTTTGTGGCAAATGGTCATCCTCAAGAAGGCAGCACCATTTGAAGGGGAAATAATAGAGTATATATAGTTGTTAGTTTATATCAGCTAATAGATATATTTGACTTGTTTAGTGATTATTAAGCTAAGCTGAACTGGCAGTGACAGTCGTTACTGGAATCTTTTATATAGCTATCAGTTGTAACAAACTCTCTAAGAGTTTACATTCAATCAATAACAAACTCTCACTTTCTCTGTCTATGTTCAGTTTATCTTTCTCTATTATATTCGTTAAAATACATATTTGACAAAAAAAAAAAAATTGATTTAATATGCAAAACTAAGTGACCGAAATTAAACTCTAAATTTATTTTTGGAGTTTAAAATGAATATATTTTAATCAATTTTATAAACTAAGGCAATCATATGTAGCTTGTTATCATGCATTTGTAGAAGTCGTCAAAATGATTTTTTTTTGTAAAACAATTATTATATGAAGAGTTTATTAATTTTTTTTATTAAACTTACATAATAGGAAAAGAAATATGAAGATTTTTGGTTGAAGACGATTCGTTATGGCATAGAGTTCTTTCTTTCAAGTAGGGGTATATTAAGAATGACATTCGCGATAATTCTCGTCCCTTTGTTAAGTCTAACCATTCGTTGTGGTGGAGGGATTTGCTTTTGTTGTTGAATGTGCGAGGGGCTGAAAATAATTGGTTTGGTATGAGTATTTCTTGTAAGGTTGGTAATGGAGCGGATATCGACTTTTGGAGGAATTGTTGGATAGGAAAAGATCCGTTGTGCATTCAATTTTCTCTGTTGTTTCGGTTGCTGCATGAGCCAATATTCTTGCGTATTATAGAAGCTGGTAGCGTCGTGCAAAGTGCTTAGATTTGGTTGTTCTGCCATAGCCGCAAATTGCTGCCAATTCAGGAAGCTGTTGAATGCGATAATCTGCTTACTATTTTGCAGGATTTTCAGCCTCTTCCGAACCAGCCTGACCGTTTCATTTGGCGGAGTGTTGCTGGGGGCTTTTTGGTGAAATCTGCTTTCGACGGATTGTGTGGTTTATAGCACAGGTTTGCTGTCATCTCTAAAGTGCGTTTGGAATTCAATTGTGCTGGCAAATATCCAAGTGTTTGCGTGGAAGTTGGTCAATTATAGATTACAAACAAGAGATGAGCTTGCTAAAAGAGAAGTTTTTTTGGGAGTCCATAATCTCGTTTGTCCATTATGTTTTGGACCGAGTGAGTGTCACCATCATCTCTTGTCGTGTCGCCAATGAAGTTTGGTTATCTATACTTGAGTGGATATGGGTGGTTGGTAACTATCCCATTCCTACTATTTATGATCATCTCTTGTTGTTTATGATCATCTCTTGTTGTTTGCCTCTGTTTTATTGAAGAGGACAAGAAAAAATTGTAGAATTTTTATTTGGTTATCAGTTGTCAGGGCCACTTGTTTAATTAGGAATGATACTCTTTTCAATGGTGGAATGAAAGGGAGTCGGGAGATTGTAGTCGTAGCCAAAACTTTAGCTTGGGATTGGATTTGTGCTACATCTTTTGGTTAGTTTTCCTCTTCTAAAGATGATTGGATGTCCAATCCGTTTGTAGCTTTGGCTTAACTTAGTTTATTTCTTTGTATTGGGTTGAGTACCCTTATGCTCGCTTTAATGCAATTTTCTTACTTATCAAAAAATATATACATTTCATTATTCACTATATTCCACTATTCAACTGTTTTACTAGTCATATTACCAAGTTGACATAATTATTTAGCTTTGACACAATGTTAATGTTGACATTGTTATAGCCTTCTTTAATGTTGCCATTTGATATATTATGAACTCTTCCTCCATTGGTTGTAAATAACATTTGTAATGTTCTGAGATTTCTTTTTCTCCAACAAGTTGCCCTTGTCTTCTGTAATCTGCTCAAAGAGAGAGAAGTTTGAGTTTCAATACATCAAGTTAACAATGGGAATAACAAGAAATTCTATAAAGATTACTACAATAAATGTTGTAAATCTCTTGGAACTCTGCACCATCTTGTTCTTAGTGATTTGAATAATTTTCATGATATATTAAGATGTAAGAGCAATTATTGTAAAGAAATAGATCAATCCATGTCACTTGAGCAATTATTATATATTTTCAATGAAACAAAAAACCATGTGAACAAAAGATTTTTGTTCTGTCAACAAACTAAATTGGGGTCTATTTTAATAAATAAAAATAAAATAAATGCATTAGCTGATATACCAAAGTAATTCATCCAATATAGATGATCAAATAACATAGTCCTTGAATGAATTTCAATTACATCATAGGATTAGTCTCCACAATTATGTGCGAAGACACCTAGTTTGTAAAGAAGAAAAAATACATCGCGCTATGTGCTCTCAACCTTTAAATTGCCATTCCCGACGGCACATAGGGCAATGTGCTTGTGAGGTTTGAGAATTCACCCATTTCAAGATACAATGCAAATGAAATGCATGATTGCACACACCCCAAACTGCAAGTGATAGAAAAAAGAGTTAGACTACAAAATACTTATATACGTATACAGTTAATTAAAAAAAAAAATTAGACCAGGTAGAAATTTAATTAATGCAAATCTTGTAACATAGAGAAAGGCAAATTAGCCATATAGTGATTCAGTATTCTAGAGAAAGGAAGACAGAGATCATGGTGGTGACAACTAACTCTCAAATCTAAAATAGAATTGTCGTCTTATTGCATTCAATTCCTTGAGCATAAAATTTTCTTCTGTATATAGTCATCTTGTATGCAAATAACAACACATCTTTGTAGCAGCTTAAACGAATGCATAATTATATATACGGAGCCATAAATGAAGGTTAGAGATATCCAGTGTTGTTAAATGGCAGAACGGCGTGGCGGATTTTTGGAAAGCCGCCATACTGGATTTCTGAAGGGATACCCGTCATAGGCCACAATGACGTATTTATATGACGGAATTTTGGCCTTCTGTCATAAACACTGGAGATATCTAGACCTATCTACCATAGAAATAAGAAAAGAACTGAATGATTCACTGTCCTGTATGTAGAGAACTCGGAAAGCAATAGAAGGAAACTCTTTGTGTATAAAGTTTCCTAATAACAAATTCACTCAGTTAATAGAAGCAATTACGAGAATAAATGAAAGCACAAACTATTACTAGTTATGCGTTTGAGTTTTACTACTTCTTGAGCAGCATGGAACTCCCAACGTACAAAGTTTATTAGATTTCGTGATTAATCAAAGACAATTTGGTGCAAATATAATGACAACTATGGAAGTCTCGATATAACGTTAGCAGTTTAGCTTACTCAACGGGCAGTCATCCCCAGGAAGTTTACAATCAGGACAGCATCCATCAAAGGCCATCCTACAAATCCCACACGTTTCATCCTGTGCATCCCAAGTCCAAGAAGCAATAGCATGCCATCTACATTTGACATATGAGAATTAAAAAAAAAAGTGCCAACAAGTTACAACCAATAATAGATACTTGTACAAATTAGCTAGACTGAAAATTACAACAACAATCATTTTGATGTCACTAAGCACTTTTCTACAAAATTTGATTAAAAGTGAGAACAAAAACCAGTTTCACACCAACCATACAACTTTTTTCATAACATAGAATCAATATCTAGTTTAAACTATTTTCCACCAACTTGTGTTCTCCTTACAAGTTTCACTGATTTCGTCGCACTTCAATTCAATAATCTTGAGAGTTTAATGACAATGCAGAAAAATATACATATTTATCATCCAATCACATCTCATCATTATATTCAATGCACTCATAATCATTCATCACACAATGTAACATAAACCATAGTAGAAAGTTTCAACCAAGAAATTATTATTTGAAAGACAAGAGCATCATTGTATGAAGGTAGTTATTGTTGGAGATAAAGAAAATAACATACTCTATAACAGAAGATCAGAAGAAATCCATAAGGAGAGACCTAAGTCAAGAAAAACAAATTTTTTTTCTGCAAATACCCAATTATTGACAATAAAATAGAGAGAGAGTAAAAACATGAAAATTTGAAACCATAAACACTGTGAAGCAAATGAACAAACATGTAAAATGCGAAAAGGATAAAACAAAGTGTTAGAAAAAACATGAAAGAGGAACTGAATAGTAATAAAATGGAATTGGAATTTTGAGAAGGATACGCAGGATCTTCACTTTCATGATTGTAGTGAGAAATATGAAACGATGAAGTTAGGGTTCGTGCATATGCGAATTTGGGAAGAAAATTTGAAAAACTCTGATGCAACTTCACTTGACGTGTGCTTGTGTAACCATGATTGCAAACCGTTGGATTAAACTCAAGTATTAGAGGAGATTCAACTATTTATGTTTGTGCCAATTATAGTTAATAATAAAGATTTTAAAAGATTGTTTTTTGATTGAACATAAATCTAATTATTCAAAAGTTGATAAAGAAAAGAGTTCAATGGATAAAATAATTTTACACAAATATTCAATAGAAATTTATTAGTTAACCATGTCATCCTAATAATTTAAAAATATTAATATGATTTGATAAAATATATAAAGTTAAAAGATAGTGTATTAACCGTGTAAAATAATTTTATAGTCTCATTTAATAAAAATTTATCATTTAATCATATCATATTATTCTTTAAAAATAACACTATAATTTGATATTTAACATGACCGTGATTAATTGACTGTGCATATAATTTATTTTCAATATGAATGTTGTGAAACTTTGCAACATAGATGGGATTCGTAAGACAAAATGATGCTTTTGCACTCTCAATTTTAAAAATCTAAAAGAAAAGTACATGTCCACTAATCATTTATAATTACCTAAACCATTAATTAACAAGCTTTACACCGAAACAAAAATCTATACATTCCCTCACATAAAGATAAGAAGAAAAATCATTTATAGCCTTTGATAGAATATCATAAAGCTAACAGAAAAAACAGAACAGTTAGATCAAATCTCAATTGTATTCATTATATTTCTTAGAGATACAATGATAGCTCTGTTTATATAGAGAGCTAGAATAACAGAATTCTGTTATGATCTAACAAACTATTAACAGAATTCTGTTATGATCTAATAAACTAAGACAGCTCAGCATTACAGCTGAACAGAACTAACTCAGAACAACTAACACAAGCTGATACAAATAGCACTTCATCTTTCATTCCCCCTTTGAAGTTGGGGGTAGTTCTAGCAGACTATGTTTGTCAAAAACTCTGAGCTTAGAACGAAGGGGCAGAAACTTGTTTGCAGATAAAGGTTTAGTAAGTGCATCAGCCCATTGGTCTTGAGCAGAGACATGAGCCACAACAAGACTCTTGTTGAGGACTTTTTCTCTAACAAAGAAAATGTCCAGCTCCATATGCTTAGTTCTATTATGGAGAACTGGATTGTGAGCAAGAGTTACAGTGCTCAGATTGTCGCATAGAACTTTAGGAGTTAGAAAAGGACAGTGCAACTCCCTGAGCAGAGACTGCACCCATAACAATTCTGCAGCCAAATGTGCCATGCTGCGATACTCTGCTTCAGCACTGGACTTGGCCACTAACTGCTGCTTTTTAGACCACCAAGATATCAGATTAGGGCCAAGAAACACACAGGCACCAGAGGTAGATCGCCTGTCATCTGGGTCTGAAGCCCAATCAGCATCACAAAAACCAAGTAATTGCAGAGGCTGCTAAAGAGAGGCTGGTTGAATGAGCAGACCATGATGTTTTGTACCACTTAAATACCTTAATATTCTCTTCACTGCCTTCCAATGTTCTTCCAAAGGATTGGACAGAAATTGACAAACTTTATTGACAGAAAAAGAGATTTCTGGTCTAGTTAGTGTAGCATACTGCAGAGCCCCAACCACTGATCTGAATTGTGTAGGATCATCAACCTCAATAGAACCTATTTTGGATAATTTGCTGCTGGAAACCATGGGTGTGGGCATACCATTTGCACTGGTCATGTTCACCTTGGCTAGTAAATCAGTGATGTATTTGCTTTGAGATAGCAGAAGTGAGCCATTAGGCAAATGTGTGACTTCAATGCCTAGAAAATAGTCTAATTTGCCCAACTGTTTTAGAGAGAAAACCTCATTAAGATGTTTGATTAGGGCTGTAATAAATGGAGCAGAATTTCCTGTGATGATAATATCATCCACATAAACCAGAATCATTATCTGAAGTATGCCCTGATGCAAAAAAAAATAGACTAGGATCACATTTACTGGCCTGAAAACCTTGCTGAATGAGGGCATTTTTAAGCTTGTCAAACCAGGCCCTTGGGGCCTGTTTTAACCCATAAATTGCCTTATTCAACTTACACACAAGGGACTTATTAGAAGACTCAAATCCAGGTGGCTGTTGCATAAACACTTCCTCCTCAAGAGTGCCATTGAGGAAGGCATTATTCACATCGATTTGCTGGATGGTCCACTTGTGAGTGACTGCAAGTGTCAAAATTGTCCTTACGGTAACAGGTTTTACAACAGGTGAGAAGGTTTCAGAAAAAATCACTTCCAGCCTGCTGATGGAAGCCTTTGGCCACCAATCTGGCCTTATATTTGTTAAGAGTACCATCAGAATTCTCTTTTACCCGAAAAACCCACTTGCAGCCGATGGGTTTCCTTGATTCAGATGGTTCCACCAGTGTCCAGGTCTGATTTCTCATCAGTGCCTGATATTCTTCCTTCATTGCCTGGTACCAGTGAGGAACAGCCAAGGCTTGACCAACAGAGGTTGGTTCAAGATGAGTCAGTAACAAGGTAGGGTTTAGTTTAGGTTTCACAATGCCTCTTTTGGCTCTTGTTTGCATTGGGTGAGTGTTAAAAGGATTGATGAAAGGCTGAGAATTAGGAGAGGAAGTGGGACTTACAGATTGAGATATAGCAGGGGAAGAAGATGGGGATATGGTACTTGCTTCTGCTAAATCAGAAGTGATAAGAGCAGGTGTGGATGTAGAGGTGTTGGGAGAACTAGACAGAACAGGGGACTGCTCAGCTGAGTTGGGTGATTCAGGGTCAGCTGAGTTGGGTGATTCAGGGACATTGTTATGTAAGCTATTGGAGGTAGAATGAATGTGAGTAGAAGAAAGAGGAGTAGCAGAAATGGATGGGTCAGAACTGACTTGAGAAATAGGAGTTGGTGACATGAGAGGCACACTGGAATACGAAAAAGTGGAAGATTGAGGTGTGGTAGATGAGGAAGGTTTAGAAGATTCAGAAAATAATTTGGAATAAGGGAATATGGACTCTTGGAACAAGACATCCTTAGATATGTAGATGTGACCATTAGGAGCTAGGCACTTGTAGCCTTTATGAGAAGTGGAATACCCTAGAAATATACATTCTTGAGACCGGTAATCAAGTTTGTGAGAGTTGTAAGGGCGGAGAAAAGGAAAACACGAACATCCAAAAACTCTTAGGCAAGAATAATCAGGTTTCTTGTTGAGAAGTTTGAAATAAGGGGACTGATTATTGAGACTGACACTAGGGAGTCTATTAATTAGGTATGCTGCTGTAACAAAGGAATGGTCCCAAAATTTCAAGGGCAATGTGGACTGTGCAAGTAAGGCTAGACCTGTTTCAACAATATGGCGATGTTTGCGCTCAACTATGCCATTTTGATGGTGGGTATGTGGGCATGTGAATCTGTGGACTATGCCTAAGTCATTGAGATACTTGGTGAATGGCCTAAATTCACCCCCTCCATCACTCTGCACACTTTTGATAGGAAAGTTAAATTGAAGTTCAACCATTTTCTTGAATTGAACAAATTGAGAGAGAGTATCAGACTTAAGTTTAAGAGGGAAGAGCCACACAAAGCGAGAGAAGGCATCAAAACAAGTTAGGAAATAGTTATAACCCCCTAAGGACAACATGGGAGCAGGACCCCATAGATCACAAACAACAAGCTCAAAAGGCTGCTTGTAAACAGTGGCAGACAGAGAGGTGGGAAGCCTGTGAGATTTGCCTAAGCAACAAGCTGAACACAGTTCTGTAGGTGGTTTAGAAGGAGCAGAAAATTGACACAGTTTAAACACCTCAGTGAGAGCATGATGATGAGGATGACCTAAACGAGAGTGCCATAAAACATATTTATTTGTTGCTATAGCCAGAGAATTATTCACATGCTGAGATGATAAAGAATTATAAGTAGTAGCATTGAGAGAAGGTAAAGTGGTACAAATGGAATTATCTTTATTCATGAATAGATCAGCAGTACACAGAGAAATACACTTGTATGAATCATTTGTATTGCCTACAGACCTACTTGAATTACTACTACTACACTATTTTGAAGACTCAGCTAGACATGAGTTGAGACTTAGTGAGGACTTGAAATTTTGTAAGGCTGGAACAGGAAATTTGTAGAGACCATCTGCGTCCACCAGACCATGAAGTAAAACTTCAGAAGAAGCCTGGGATTTGACAACACAAAATTTTGGGTGAAACTCAAAGAAAACCTTATTGTCCTGAGCAAATTTGCTAACACTCATAAGATTTTTAGTGATGTGAGGCACGAGTAAGAGATTTTGCAAAGTGAGAGACATGTGAGGATGGTTAGGTAAAGGAAAAGGCATAGAACCAATAGAATGAATAGACAAACCTTGGCCGTTTCCCATAAACACTTGCTCAGTTCCAGGCACAAAAATAGATTCAGACACATTTGAGGGATCAGGAGTAACATGATGGGACGCACCGGAATCAGGATACCACCATTGATTACTGAAGCCAACATCAGTGCCTGCATAGAAAGCCTGTGGAGAAGATGCACGAGAGGAAGAAGCTCTTGGAACACCATAGCTAAAGGGAGGTTGGTACATAGGTCGTGATGGCATCATGAAAGGATTGTATGGAGCTCTCTGAGACTGATACATTCCAGCAGCAGAATTTAAGTAACGATAATAGCAGATGGACGCATCGTGTCCAGATTTGTGACAAATCTGACACTGAGTTTTGCCAAAACGGCCACCTCCACAGCCAAAACGACCGCCTCCATGATTTGAACGGCCACCACGTGCACCATAGCTATGATTCTCAGCATTGGCAGTAACATGACTTGTTCCCTGTGGAAAAGCCTCAGTACCAGCACTGGAATTATCTGACGTAGCCGGCGACGACGGTGTCAACGCCTGAGTCAAATTGACCGTCACCGGCTCAGTGAGAACTGCTTTGCGATGCTTATCCAGACGCGATTCATGTGCCAGCAGCGACGACTCAAGTTCATCGAGTGAACCGACTTCTTCTTTGTTGTTGACGGCGGCGACAATGGAGTCGTATTCCTCAGGAAGAGAATCGAGCACAA